GGGCAACTCTCCTATACCAGTAACCTATACAATATTATTTTTATTCTATCAAGACAGCATGGGAGAAAAAGGTAGAGGATATGATTTGCTTCAGGTTGTAGGTAACATGCTTCTGGCCTTTGCCTAATTGTAGTCACTAAATACATCTCACCAAGAGCCTAGTCATTACATGGGCTCTCATACTCACTAGGGTCTTCAAAAACACTATTCAGCCAGCTGGACATCTGAAGCTTGATGTTGACTCTCTCTGCAATATGTATAAAAAAGATGAGAGAAAAACCTGCAGGAATTTAGAAGTGTCAGATATGTGAGGTGACTCCAGGCCAAAGCTGAGGGCAGAGATGGCAACCAAGCTTCAGTGCCTCAGACAGCAGATTTATCAACAAGACTGGTTTTTTTCCAGCTTTAGCCTTTCCAAAACCTTGTTGAATCCTACAGTCATGATATGGTAGATATAGCAGTCCAGTTCTTCAGTATGAATAAAAACAAGCACCTGTTGAGCTTGGTAAAGATATGAGAGTATTCAAGGATGAGGACTTCAGTGAGGATGGCTGAAACAGCACTTCATCCATGCAGGGGAGAGCCAGGTCCCATTTGAACCCTCTGAAATACGGAAAGAAACCACCTCTACTTGACCGTGGGACAAAGAGGAGCAATGACACTCCATTTTCCCCTATCCTGTTACAACCTGAAAAGACGGAAGACGGTTCATTTTCTGCCAAAGCAGGCGCACAGCCCAAACTCACAGAAACAAGACAGGCAGGAAGGAGGAAAATGAGGGGGGGGAAGAGCCTGGAATCTAGACAGTGAAAAGAAAGGAATTCAGAACCATTGCAATGACACGTCTGACCTAGGAAGTATTAGATATGGCAAGCTGCAAACAACACCAGCAGAGTATAAAAGGGTCACTGACTCCAGAGACAGCATTTCCATTCAAAAACCAGTGGGTAACCTTTTGCAACAAAAAAACTTTTTTTTTTAAAAAAAAATTATAGATACTGACAACAGCCAGATTAAACCAGCAGCAAACCAGCCAAGATCTTTATTTTTCTCAGAAACAATATCTTCAGCTTCACTAAATCAAATCAGGGAATACCTGTATTTTTTTGCTTTAATACAAAATAGACATTTTAAAAACAACTGAAGTGAGAGAAAAAGATCTATTTCAAAGTAGAGTTGAACATTTCCTTCTGGAAGATTTCTTCTCTTGCAATGTCCTTAACACTGCCGGTGCCACATTTCAGTGCAACTAAAAGACAGTGCTTCTCCATATTACAGCCCTGCAGACTTCTTTGGTTTGTGGGTGTGGTTTTTTGTTTGTTGTTTTTTTTTTTGGCTGTTGTTGGAGTGGGGATTATTTTTGTGGTTTTTTTTTTGTTTGTTTGTTTGTTTAGTCTTCTTCAGAGTCTCAATGTTATTTGGAGACATTTACAACAATTAATTGCCCCTGAAGGTCCCAAAAGCAAATTTTTATCTTCTCAAACAAGGTGGAAATCAGGTTAAAGGTTACAGGGAAATGACTGATCAGACACAAACTGTGAATGTTGCATTAGCCACAATGACTCTTGAGATTGAAAGCCCGCTATTAGTTAAGAAAAGAGAGGATTCATTCCATCATCTTACTGCATATTAGTAAGCTAACGGACAGTGTGTATCAGGAGATGAAATAACAGACATTTACTATCTTTTCCGAAGAGAATGAAATAAAACATGAAATGTTTATTTTTTTTAAAAGCTAGTAAACTTATATTAACATTCAACTGCAGAGTAGTAAGAAAAACAAGGGCTTTGATGTTAGGCTGATGTAACTGCCAGGGCTGCTACAGTCTCCTGTTATGTACCGGGATATCAGCGTACCTTCCCTCATCCTAATTTAATCTCATACTTATTCTTCATCAGTTACCACTAAGAGAAGTTTTTCACCTGATGTCACATGGAACTAAACCAGTATTGCTGATGGTCACAACTACATAAAATAAAGGTACAGTCAGTCAAATTGAAAGGCTTGACAAGAAACAGTTCAGAAGTGACCCACTTAAACCTGGCAAGCCTCTCAGGGATAAGAGCTCTCTCAGTGGTATGACTGGTCATGTGCAGGGCTAGGCTCAAAAGAACTAATGTTAATAACTTAAAAATGGGTGACAGTATTAAATCTCAATAAAAACACAATGCCTACGGCCAACAATGCTGTCACTTATGTATGTGCATCCAAGTTCACTATGGACTACACTCCCTGGAACAGTTTTCAGTAGCACCCTCTTTCCCCTGCACCATACCAAATAATGGAGTCTAGTGGGACTCTAAGCAGTCACAGAATCACAGAATGGTTGGGGTTGGCAGGGACCTCCAGAGATCATCCAGTACAACCCCCCTGTCAAAGCAGGGTCACCTACAGCAAGTTGCACAGGATCGCATCCAGGCGGGTTTTGAATATCTCCAGAGGGGGACACTCCACAACCTCTCTGGGCAGCCTGTTCCAGTGCTCTGCCACCCTCAAAATAAAAAAGTTCTTCCTCACATTCAGATCAAACTTCCTGTGTTTCAGTTTATGCCATTGCCCCTTATCCTGTCGTTAGGCACCACTGAAAAGAGTCTGGCCCCATCCTCTTGAGACCTGCCATTAAGCTATTTACAAGCATTGACAAGATCCCCCCCAAGTCTTCCCTTCTCCAGGCTGAAAGACCTCAGCCTTTCCTCATAAGAGAGATGCTCCAGTACCCTAATCATCGTCTCTGCCCTCCACTGGACTGTCTCCAGTAGTTCCTTGTCTTTATTGAACTGGGGAGCTCAGAACTGGACACAGTCATCCTCCCTTTTTTTCCTGGAGCGTAATAAAGAGAACAGGCAAAAAAGAAATGCAATGGAGCTGTGCTGTGATTCTTCCTGCAAATGAAGAAAAGATCAGAAAAGGCATTCAAAAGAAAGAGAGGATACAGCAAATTAATGAGGAATGAGTTGTGCTGCATTTAGGCTAAATCATTCTGCATCTTCAGCCAAAGCCAGGAATGGCACAGCTATTGCTGTGCATAGACACCAGCATAAATAACTATTTCAGGTCCTTTCCATGCTACCTTTTACCTTGCCCCACCGCCTCAATTAGCACAGCTTCACTAGTCCTGGTGTAAGCAGCTAGTATTAAACAGTGATATATAAGCAGAATATATAATAGAAAGATATATTTACAAGTCAAATGTTGGGCATACAGATGTTATATAGCTGAGAGCTACTGAAACGCCTTTTTGTTTTAAAATTGCTTAAACTCTGTAAGTTTCATCACCAAAATTAATACCTGCTGTTTGTGCTGTAGCAGACAGAAGAACCTATTTAGCATAGTGATAATCATCAGCTAAGTTGTGTATCTAAGACTTTACTGCACCTGCTTCTCCACCACGAACACAAGTTTCGGAACAAATTACATCTTAGCCAAGCCTTGATCATCATACAAAGCACGCACTGCAGAACAACTCAAACACATGCAAACAAATCTTCATGTAATGTCCTGAGAATACCTAAAACTCACACAAATGAAGACAAGCATAACAGCATCAGACAATGAAGGTAACTATCAGGTTTTCTAGCATGAATCTCAAGTCCCATCCTGTCTCCTTTCTGCCCCAGGCAAGATATCTTGCTCCTCTACTTCTCCAGGTCTACTTTCTTTTAGATATGTTAATGACTTGAAGCTTACAAGATCACCACGTAGAAAGAGACCACCAGTTCTTTTCCTGTGGGTCTTGGGAAGAACATAAACCTAGACCTCTACAAACAAAAGGTCAGCATGACCCAGGTCTCTAGGAGTGCAAAAAGATCCAGGAAAAATGTTTTAAATATTGCAGATGACTCTCTCTAGTACAGTTGAGCCATCAAGGTACTATGTGCCTTAAAAACATGTAAGGAGAGTTACCACTGCAAAGAGCTTACAATACGAGGTCGACCCATGCTTATTTTGTACTGTAAATTTTCTTCATGATTTTCCCTTGAAATTTTGATGTAAACAGTGTCCACCTCTATTTGAAAAGTCACAACATTTAGTCACTTACTGCTGCACAAGGTATACAATTACAGCGATGTAATTTTCACAGGAAGGTGATATTTAGAGGAGCTAATATCACAGACACAATGAACATGAGGAAAATGGATGGAAGCAGAGAAAACTAGATAAAGAAGATAAAGCCAGATCCACAAAAAGAAGTAAAACACTGAAATTGGAACTCCGGCAGAGATGCTTAGGTGCAGGAGACGGAAAAGATTATCAAAGTGCTTCGACAGATCTTCATTAGAGAAAAAATCTACTGCAACTTAAGTTCTGGCTACACACAAAAGCATAACTCCGCGTTGGCAGGGATGGTCAGGTGGCACTGCTCCAATGCCTACGCCTGATCAATATTCTCTCAGTAGATACTCTACTTCTGTCTGCAAAGGACACCAATGACCTCAGCATGCTAACATGCATCTCTAGAAATAACTTCTACTAAATACACACAGACTACTGTCTTCTCCTGTTGTTCAAAAAAAAAGAGCAACTACACCTCCATCTGCAAAAAGAAGTGTTAGAACGTACCATGCTACTATTCCAGTCTGTGAATGTAAATTAATCACAGACTACGTTGCAGTGCAGAATCAGATATTTTAGAAACCTTGAGCTTAAAAGAGTACAGATCAGCCTCTAGAATCAGCTATTCACTTAACTCCCATTTTCCTTCTCACTCTACTGAGGCACTACACTGTTAGGAATGATGTTTTAAGTATCTAAATCTCCTCACAAATTTCACTTTAGGAGCCAGACGTTCAAAGTTCAGCACTGCAATGCCCAGTATTACCACATCTGCACTTCTGTGTTGAACTGCCTTGTCAAAGTACCCATTCAAGACTGACCAGCAAACCCCAGTGCGGATCAGGAACTGAAAAGTCAGTCCCATACTTTACAGTAAAATTATTTTCCTCACAGATCACCCCTTTAGTAACATTCACACCATTATCTGTATTTTTCAGCATACTATTCATAGTCCTGTAACACAGCTGTACTGCTGCTTAGGAAGCTTCTGGTCCAAATGCAACTTTTTTACCTTTGGATCAGCAGTCAGCAGCTTGAATGCTTGATACACTTGTGCTTCTTTCACACCTCCACCAAGATCCAAGAAGTTGGCTGGCTTTCCACCATTCAAGGATATTATATCACATGTTGCCATTGCAAGTCCAGCTCCATTGACTGTAATTGTAAACATTAAGTGCTTACATTTCACATAAGAGTATATAAGATTTGTGAAAAGGCTTAAAAAATATCAGCACAACAATAGAAATATCTTTTTCTAAAAAGCTCAGTACCTATTGAAGGACACCCAATGCAACAAGTAATTCAAAAAAATGTGGTGCATACACATCCCCCAACATTTAGGTTTCTTTATGACTGTATCAACTTTAGGACTTCGATGTGCACCTTTCCTTAAGCATGTATGAGCACTGGAATGGTAATTGTGGAAATGCAAAAAATTCTGATACAAAAACTTCTGGGAACAGTGATCACATCACAGGACGTGACAGATGAATTGACTCCTTGAGCTCCCCTCCCATTATTCTGGTATCAGTAGATGATGCTTTGTATTACTGTAAAACAGACAACTAAATTTTGGGGACAGATATCAGATGATCCTGAAACTGCCTTTTACCTTGTGTTTGCACCAGTCTAGAAGCATTCCCATGGGCGCAAACATCCTCTAAGCTAGGAAAAGTAGATGAGCATTATTTGTCCCCGGTAAGTTGCTCCTGCTGGACAAAGTAAGGCTTCTGTGTCACCTGTAATTCAACAGCAATACCTAATACTAAAAAGAAATACTGTAGTGATGCTAATTATTGTTTGGGTTTTGGTTTTTTTTGTTTGTTTTTTGTTTTTTGTTTGTTTGTTTGTTTGTTTTTTTTAAATTGAGATTAAAGTCTCACTGCCGCTTACTGAATCAACTACAACACATTATCAGTAACTTCTAGATTTGTAGTTAGAGTACACATCTAAGCAATGTCAATGCTGGACATTTTCTCACCAAGCTGAGATAAAATGCCTAATTCAATTAGATTCATAATAAAATGTTGTGCTGGTTAAAAGAATTTGTACAAAATGAAAATTATTTAGAGCATTACTGACTTTTTTACTTATCTCTTCTAAACAGAAAGAGTAATTTCTGTCCTACAAAAACTTCAGGTAAACTAAAACTAGTATTTTCCTTTTAACAACCAAGCAGCTTCTTTAGCAGCTTTCCTTAAAGGGAAATGGAGTTCGATATTCAACTGTGAGTGAGAATATCATGTTTTTACACACATACTTTTGGAGTGTCTTTTAAGCAACACAGTCCCATTTTTTAAAGTCAATGATCAAATTTTGATGACTTTTCTTGTTTTATTTTAATTACTGGAAAGATCAATTGGATTAGCTTAAAAATTCAGAATGTAGAAACCCCACAGGCTTCTCCCTTAGCCTCCCTTCTCTCTGACACCACATGTGCCCTGCCTGTCTGCTGTGGCCTTCAATCACAGTTTCAACACAATTTTAGTTTCATTCCCGCAAGAACTTGCAGAAGGACAGACAACCTCAGCAAAATAGACTGAAATGCTCTCAAGGGTGGATTGAATGTCAGAATGTAAACAAAGTCTACACACTGAAAAAGTATGAAATTTGTCTTCAAATGTCTTTTGGATTTATTTGTTCTTACCAAAGCAAGCAATATTTCCATCCAGTCCTATATATTTTAAATCATATTTGGCAGCTTCGTTCTCTATAGGCTCATTTTCAGACTTGTCATCCATGGCAAATATTTCTTTTTGCCTAAATTCTGCATTGTCATCAAAGTTTATCTTGGCATCAAAGCAAACAACTAAAGAAAAAAAAATAAAACAACATATAGGCATTTAGAGATTACAGTTAGTCAAAGCTGCTGAAATATTACTACTACTACAGCAGGGAGGGGGAGAAGGTTGCTTAGGGACTGATGCAGCTTCCAACATATGATCAGCTGAAGTTCTAGCAATGAGCCCAGCAGAGGAGGGCAAGTTTTCCTTAAATCCTATATTGAGAAAAGGTACAGCAAGCATCTCCTCACTACACACTAATGTGCCCTTGACACAGGATGATAGTCTGTGTTTGTTTTCAACAAGCTCCCCTAAGTTATGAAGGTAATTTTTATGATTTGGACAGGTGGTCTGCAGTAATTCTCATAAGAGAGTCTACTTTCAATATTTCAAAAGTATGACAGATATAACAGGTTAGCAATCCAGAGCAATGCTTGGTAACATGCATTCATTTACAGTTGAGCAATACAAAATGCTTTCCTTAGCCGTATTTTTAATTTATAATGTTATTAGCTATAGACGTATCAGTTCCCTAAAGATCTGAATTAAAACAATTTTAAGCCAGTGCATAGTAAAAATGATAAAGATATCACTTTTAAACAAAGAAAATGTTAAAAGTAAATACAAAACTGCTCAATGTCAACATCTGCTATGGTTGTAAAAACAAATTAAGAAGTAACTAAACCTGACTATATTAAATAATAGATACAAAAGACTAGCTAGTAGACATAATAGTCATATAAAAACACCACTAACAGAAATGCATGTAGTGTGAACTGGTTATTTGCCTATTTATTGTCTCATTATTTCTATGGGTTTGCATAGGCAAACACCTCATGAGATTAAAATGTTAAGTAAATGTAAAATCATATACTTATCATTTCGCTATTTAAGTAATTTAACTTGTATTATACAGATTATAATTACTGACTGAAGTACAATTGATTTCTCAATGCAAACCAGTCAAATTTAAGTGCCTTTAAATGCTGCATCCAGAAGAATCTAATAGTTTTTTTCTGCTGTGTTTTGATTTATATTGCCATTGAAACACATACATATTACGTATGCATGTGCTCATGAGCATTGTACACATCTCTGCAACTAGAGATCAATTACAATTAAAAAAATATTTTTTAGTCTGATATAGATACACATCAATTAAAATAACTAATTGCACAATCCTTTTGGGGACAAATATCTCTCTCTCCTTTTTTTTTTTCCTTTAATATACAATTGCTTAACTTAGGAGAAAATATCTAAGCAAACAGCAAACAAAACATTTACAGAAATAGGCGAGTCTGAAATGTATGCCTTGATTTGCATTGGTTTTTCTTGTTTTGGTTTTCTGATGTTGCTGGAGTTTTTGTGTTTTTTTAAAAAACATTTCATCTGTAACCAATACCAGATTAAATTAAAACAGGATCAAATTTCATTTCAGTGACTGCAGTTTCAGAAAACTATTCATGAGTCTTTGTGTATAATAAATCTCTCTTGGAAGAGTCTAGATCTTACCCGGTCAATCATCATGTGGGAATCTGACAAAAGAAGAAACGTCTGAAGTTCGTAATATGCTTCTGCTATACTAGAGATGATTTTTTTTTTTTTTAAACAATGAATAAGACCTGTACCATTTTTATTCTTCAAGCTTTCAGTTCCTTAAATTGCTAACAACTCAAAGCCAGAGTAAAACTGCAGTTTCAGAGCTCTGTTTACCTTAGACATGAACATCCTCAATGTCACATTAACAGAAACTCATTTCTACAGAACATTTATCTTTAACAAAGGCCATGCTGTACAAAGTAGCAAGAAAAACACCTATTAATATTTATCAAACCATTTTCACCATCAAAAGCACATTGTTACATGCATGATAGATTATACAAATGAATTTTTCTTCTAAACAAACATCAAAGAAAGCTCTAACACTTGTATTCATGGAGTACTTCTGTTGTTTTTGCTAGCAGCATAGGATTTTTGTCATCTGCCAATTCAACAGTTTACACTGAGAGCAAACAAAACAAAAAAAACCTGAAGAAATTGGCAGTTGCAGGCTTCTGACCTAATAGTGTTAACAAAGAATTTGCTACAAAATTAAACAAAAGGAAATACATATGAGAATGTAATTTCTAACGGAAATTCACACAAGTAAACACAAAACACAGCAAGAAATAAATCCATCTTAAACATTACTTTGACAGGAGTAATGGTCTTCATACAGAGACTTATATTTTATCATTAGAAATAACTGCATTAAGCTACTAAAATGTTCTTCCATTTGTTTTATCTTTATTCTTCTTTAAGACATTTCAAATGGAGAAACTGCTAGCAAAAAAGAAACAAGCACAGGAAGACTTCTGTGTATGTCTGCTAGTAAGATGGTTCTCACAGCTTGAAACCTACTCTGACTCAGCTCCTCAGCTTCCTGGATGTGAAACATAGGGGGAGAAACCTCAGAGAAAACAGCATAAAAACTCCTACAATCCCTCAAATTAAGCCTTCCTCACTAAATATGCACAGCCATTCTAGAAAAGCTGAGTTGGTAACTTACCCAAATCAGTTCATTTTTTTCCACAGTGCCACCTCATACTACTCTAGCAAGGATGCAAAGTTAGTACCACCATCATTCTTTAGGACCTTTCGGGACTACCAGTTTTGTTTCCTCTCATTCCTAACTGTCCTCTCCTTCACTTGTCCCTACTTGTCTATGAATTTCCCCTCTGTTGGTACCCAGCCAAGTATGTCTTCAGCACCTCACTGATGCCCCTATTCTGTTATCTGACAGCGCTGCCTCTGCCCTTCTCACTTCCTTCTCAGGGTCTATACACGTCTGCAGTGTCCACTCACTGACACCCAAGGCATACCTAAAGGGTTGTCTTCGCAGGATTACATGGATGAGATGATGTAGGTACTGAAGTGGAGATTTTGTCCTTTGCTCTGCCAAACTAACAGAATAGTAAAGTCCTTCTATACTAGTCAGCTGAGCTAGTTTTGAACCAGCAAGTGTGAATAGCAGAACAGTCTAGTCCTGGCACAAAGAGCTCACCTCAAGCTCATTTCTCTGCCTGATCGAAGGCAATTGTCATAGATGTCCCAATTTCTGACATCTGACTGAGCAAAAGGACTACTGGGTACCTTCCATACTGCCCTGTACTGTTAAGGTATCTCGGTCAATTATTCTACTAAAAAAAATTATTTCAACAAGTTTTGAGGAAGGAAATTTTCTTTTTACAGTATCAGTGGTCTTGAACCCACAAAATAAGCCTGGTATGTACATCAGTCATAGGACAAACACAACAACGAATTTTTTTTGAAGTGAACATCATAATCTGCAAGGAAGTTCCAGCAGTTTTTGTTGCATCTATTTTAAATGTCCCATTCATCTTCAAAAGGCCAAAAAGAGTCATGTGTTGCACACTGCTAGAACTTGAAAAACTCAGATAATTCATTTTCCAAGGCCCTATTTCATTGTTCTGCTTTAACTTCACTGTGCAACACAAAATGAAAATGTCCTCCTTATCTCATTCCCAACTGGTTTTAATGAGGCCAATAGATCTATTTAAATGGCGGGGAAAAACAATAGTCTATTGGGTTCTGAAGGCAAATTTCCCATTTCCATTTAAAATACAGCCTACAACAGAACTACACTGGCCAATAGCAGGACATTTTCTTTCCCTCCCCCAGTACACATTTCAGAAATTGCATAAGAACGAATGGAGCTACAGTTAGTTCCTAAGAATTTGACTCACATTTATTAAGCTGAGTGAGGTTTACAATGCAGAAACTATTGATTCAATGTGTATGTTATTGTGGTACTTCAAATGAGCTGGAAATCTGAGCACACAGTGCTGCGAAAGATTCTCAAATAAAAAGAGTTAAAGCACTTGGTGGAACTCATTCTCATGAGGTAAACTCTATCCAGACAGCTAAAGGATTCTGGTGGCAAGAACACCAAAAAAACCCAGCCAACCAAGAAGGAATTCTTAAAAGGTCTGCTATCAAAGCAGAATTCATACATTTAAGCCATAAATATGTTCTTCTAGCTTAGTTTAATCTGAAAACAGCTCATTATGTAAAAAACCTGACAACACATTTGTTTATTTTTATCATTGTCTCTGAATTATCCTCAAATATTTTAATAGACAAGATATTCCTTTACGTGTTTTTAAAATGTCACTTTACAATAGGGCATTTTAGTGTCCCAGAGCCTATTTTTATAGCAAAGAGCACCATCTTCCAAGATGTGTTAATAAAACACGGTGGGGTAGGATTTATTTTACATCTTTTAGAGCTTTTCAGAGTTCATTACCAGCAGAATTTTCCTTTTAAGCTGTGCACAATTCTCTGCCAATTCTTTTGCATTTGGTTTTTTAATAACAAGGGAAAAACAAGGTTGGAGAATTGGAAGAGACTGCATAGTTTCTAGCCACAATTCGGCTTCTGAACTCCTGACCAACTGAGCCAAAAATATGGATTTTTAGTGAAAAGCTGTTGATTTTACAAACTAGCTGTGGGCACACAAAAAATATTTTAAAAATGCTAATTCTTTCAATTGGTACTGACTCCTATGAGGAACTTGTGTTTTTAACTAACATAACTGTGATTTTTTTCCAAAAGTTTCCAGAATAGCAATTAAGCAGCCACATTCCCAATGTCTGTTTCCATTTTCTAATTTCCACTTTAATCTGTAGGCATATTTTATAAAGTTGGTGAAAAGCTGGAATTGTCTTTCTTGGCAAACATTGATAAAGAATACTCAAGAAACACCCACCAGCACTTCCCAATGTCAAAGACTTCTCTCAAATCACAAAATGATACTATAGGTAGGGCCTCTACTAGGAAGTCACTAGTGCTTGTGAACCACAGCCTTTGACACTGAAGACTCAGCTAGCTCCCCCTGCGCTCCACAACTTCTTATCTTTATCCATGTAAATCAAAGACAAAAAATAAAAAGGGAGAGGCCATGAATACCGTAAAATATTGGCATTAGGAATGAATGTACTGGTAAAAATGGTCTGCCATCAAATGAAACAGCAAGGTGGTAACTATGATCCACCTGGATCAACTCTACTCTATTTCAATATACCACAGGCATCCTCAGTTCCTCCTCTCTTTGCTTTTGTCCAAGTTAGTTGGACAAAAATGACAAATGGAAGAAAAGGTTTCAGCTGGAAAACCAGCTACTAGAATGATGTGAAAGTTAACCCAGCCCCTTATTTTTACCCTATACCTTCTTAGCCCTGTATTCATGGTGGAAGATTAATTATCCTTTTTCTTCCCAAAGGATGTAGCTAAGCATCAGTTCCAGCTGCAATTTCTCCTGTGCTCTAGTAGCTTGCAGTCACGCACTTATAACTTACCAATATATTTACGAACATAAAATAACAAGTTTTTTTCTGCACAATCTCAGTAATTCTAGCAGCATTAACAAAACAAAAAACAAAGAACAAAAAAATACCCAAAATAAAGCCAAGAAAAACCCAACTTTATACAAAGAGCAGAAAACGTTGCTGTTTCTCACCAAGCATAACACATAGAAGCCGATACTTCCAGTATTTGGATGAAACAACAAAAGGTATTGAAATGTAAAATCTGCCATGGCAATGTTTATGAATGTTGCTTAAATTACATTACAAAATGAAATTAATGCAAAGCTGATGCTACAGCCTTCTATGCGATTTAATTTATAGTTTGCATAAATAAAGAATTATAATGCATTCATTTGTTTCCTTCAATTTCTTACCTTGCCCTTCTGGAGTTTCACCAAAGGGATTCACTTCAACCTGAGTGGCATCAATTTTCAAGAAAAGATTATACAGCTTCTTAATTTGATCTGCTGCCTAAATATGATCAAGTGATTTACAATTACCACACAGAAAAACAAAAGCTAATGTTTTCAAGGCAAAGGTAAACCATTATTGATTATTTTTAATGTATTAAATTGCACACTAGTTCAAGATAATTACTGCTTTTCTTTCTGTATTCTTAATCATATTTATATAGTATCTAAAGTAGCTATAATATAGCATTATGATACTGCGTAACATTTAGGAAATGTGCATTTAAAGACTACACGAACTGGAGATTTTCTACAAAATAATCAGCACAATTACTATGACAAGTTTAATTTGAAAAGCGCCTAACAGTTCATAATGACATATTCTCTGGTATGCTGAGATCTAAGTTGTTTTCATGTTAATCAGTCTAAATTCAGAAACCACAAAGCAGTATGTGTACATTAGCGACTTTAGAAAAATATACACATTTCTCCTTCCTACATCAGTCTGAAATGTTTTCTTGAAGAAATGATGTCAGAAGCATGCTTGTTTACTCTTTACAAGATACCCTTGCTTGTTCCTTACTGTTCCTCACCATCTAGCCCTGTGACTGGTTCTGTGGCGAAAACTATTGTGACTGATTACTAACTTCCACGTTTTTATCCTTATAAAATTCTTCCATTAATAGAACAACTTAAACAACAGCAACATGAATGTGCATTAAAAAAAAATACCTTTGGTTCTTTACACACTGACAACCTGTTAGCTGAAGTAAGTTTGCAGATGAAGTGCACTAATAAAGAACCATTCAAATTTGCTCCTTCATTACCGGGCAGTTAACTGAAGTACACAAACCAAAAATATTTGGGACCTCTCCTAACAAGCAAAGTGAATGAGAAAAAAAAAAAAAAAAAGCAGAAGTCAGCCTTCCCCCACAACATCATTCATAAGAAAGAAAAGATTACAACTGGAAAGACTCAAGCCCAATGCTGCACTACATCAGGAAAAACATAGTAAGGGATGTTCCCATCTCCTCTCCTCAGTGCTGACACGGCTGCACCTGGAATGCTCTATCCAGTTTTGGGACCAACATGTCTGAGACTCTGTAAAGAGTTACAGTTTGGAAGCAACATATAAATTGCTTATGAAGTCTCTGCTCAAAAGTCATCAGCTGAAGCATTCTCAGTGGTTTTGACTTCAAAAAATTATTAGTTATAAATGTGCACCCACCAAGGCAGCAGTTTCCTTGGCATTGACACTCCGGTTGACAAACTATTCCTAATACCACATGGGCAAGGCTATCAACAGTGATGCTAGGGAGGGAGTCCCACCTTGCAACTCCATATTGATTCTGGACATCCTGAAAAGCTGTTGTTGCCCTAGTACACTGCTGTAATTTTAACAGATCACCAGAACTGCTTAACTTTTATTAAGGGCTGCTCCATCTTTCACCACCTCTCTGACTCAGGCAGCTTAATGTCAACATTTCTCTTTCTCAAGGTCTACAAGTACTGAGCCTCTTCGAGGTAAAGCATAAAATCCCAACCTAGAATGTATAAGTAAATACTAGGATTTGTCTGAATAAAAACTATATCCCTATGCTTCAGTAAATTCCTTTGAGCTGATAGCACAAGAAAAGAAATGCATTCACTGCAGCATTATTTAAATGTATTGTTGAAAAGTCCATATATTGCTGTTAATTATTAAGTACCAGAACTCTTCAAGGGTTGAAAGGTTCTACATAATCATTCCTCCTCATTAGATATACGGCTAATCTTCAAATGTGTGTTAATCAACTTAATGATTATGCATTTGTTAATTGCACGGTCAGGATAGAAAATAATTAAAACTGCTGAATTAAAAATAAAGGAGTTCTAAAAAAATGACAGTTTGAAACTATGGAAAAAAACAGGCAAAAGTAGCTTAAACAAGCTTTTTCTTCTCTGCAAAATGATTCATGAAGGATATCTTGCATATTTGTGTACAATATGGAATTCCAATATACAAAAAAAAGAGATACTGAAAAGACAAGCTGACAGCCTTTTGGTTTTGTGTTGAAGTTTGGGAAAAAAAAGGCTTCAATTACACAGAGAGATACACTTTTAGTTCTCCCCATATTAAGGGCCAGATTTTCCAAAAAAGTTCTACCCATGTAATTCATTGAGCTCCAAAGGAACTCCATGTGGCGTAACAGCATGTTGTCATCAATTGCTTCAAAGATAAGGTACTTTCACTTTGGAACAATACACACTCTACTGAAATTGCTAGAGCCTGATGACAATTATCTAGATGCAATTTAGTATTTAAAATGTCAAAATGGTCCTGATCTAATGGACACTTAGCCTTTCACATCTATTTGGAAAGCATTTATTGTATAGCTGGGCAAAAAAGTCTTCAGTAAAAAATGAGCGAATAGAGTCAAGTTACCTGCTGTTGCAAAGGTCCTTTGAATCCCAAATTTTTTGCCATCTGCAATGCCTGATGATCCTTTATGCCTTCAAAAATATCTATTTCCTCCTGTAACAATAATGTGCATAAATAGAACTAAATATGCAATCTGAGTGGAGATTCATAACTTCAAAAGGAAAATACTTAGTATACATTTGTAAATTAGTAATTAAAGCATGGCTGTTTGCCAAAGTTCTCTGAGACTGAGGCTACAGGAGCTGCCTATAGGGTAGGTTATAATTACCACACCAACTATGAAACAGTCCTTCCAAAAAAATGCATAATTCTTCAGGGTGGCATGCTGACAAGACAATGTGACACCAGTTTTCACTTTTAATTACTGTACAGATGGCATTGACGAATATTTAGTCTGTTAATTTTGATGACAGTTTCTGGAATATTTTCAAGGCAATGGGTGTCACTGCCCAGTAACACTGTGAAGTTTATATAATTTTAAAATGCACATTAAATATTTTTACAATTTGTTTAATAATTATACTTGATTGTATCAATTATTTTCCCAGATGAATAGCTTGTCTACTCATTATCGTGCCACAGTAACATCAAAAAATACTTAAATGTAGTCATCGTTAAGAAAGTAATTACAACAGTTGTATTTCAGGTGCAAAAGTTATCCAGGTACAAAGAAATAATTAACGACTCTGTCAATTAGGAAAAAACAACCACAGAAACAATAACCATATTGGCACTGACCCACTTGTGAAAAAACCGTGTACCTTCCTGAAAGTGAAACTCATAAAACATTTCAGATACGAAGTTTAACATATATAACAGCCAGATTTAAGCTCTTCTAATCAAGCTGGCGACACAAACACTTAACAAAATCAGATGTTAAACATGCTCCATTCATCTACTACATGACAGGTCTGATCCTCTCTTTGGTGAAACACAATTTTTACAGTTCTTATTGTCTTCTTTCCATACATGGAAGAAGGAAAAATGGAAGGAGAAAGGGGGGAAAAAAATACATTCTTTTGGATAACTGACAAGGAAAATTTTTAGTGTAAAGTATTATTTTAATACCTTAAATATAAGTTCTGGGCTAGTAATTGCAACTTCTTCTATGTCAACACCACCCTGTGGACTGCCAACCATAACAGGTCCATTGCAGGCTCTGTCCATCAAAATTGCGAAGTATGTTTCCCTGGAAATATTCAGTGCTTCTGCAACCATCACCTAAAAATGAACATAGGGAAGAAAAAAACAACAACAAAACACAAACGTGCAACAGTTCTGACTGGTCCATCTAACTGGTGAAGCAGAGACATTGTGGCTGATGTTTTCCACACGGTCTTAAAATGCAGCAGTTTGATGCTTGCTATTCTGAAAAGAAACGTTTGTTTCACTGCTTTTACAAGATATTACAACCCAGTGATCTTTTTCCCAAGAAATCCTCTCTCCCTAAATGAGAGACTCCTCTGATGTTGCTGTTCTCACTGGGGCATGTAACAAAGCAGTGTAAATCAGGAACACCTAATTGTTGGGGTTTTTCCATGAAGCGAACCGGAGCTACTGCTGTCTCCACAAAGGGACCTCCATATTACCTTTTTATTCTCAACAAGCACTTTAACATGCTGCCCCCAGAAAAACTTAAGTCACAAGGGACTAAAGTTTGCAAATCACATAGATGTAAGAGGGGGTACATTGGCTTTCAGATGCAGCTCATCAGTAGCGTCGTTCCTCACCAGTAAAGCCTCAGGCTTAAGTTCTCTACCTCATTCTAACAAAAGGCCACCCTACACTTAGGATCTCAGCACTGAATCCCTGCCCTGCCTAAGTATTTCCTAAGGAAATGGGTTACAGATAATTCTGCCATCCAGCTTTTTACTTTCAGTTTAGAGAGACAAGCAGATGTGTGACCTTCAGATATCAGCACAATCTAGAAACATAAAAAATTATTTTTCCAAACAGCCACTAATTTCTATTTATTACTATAAACTACAGAGCACTTTTGTACCAGTATCTGGCAGGTACCTCAGCACGCAACAAAAAAGATGATTCAAATCCTACATGTTTGGAATCTACAAGTACTCACATTAAAATTGGAGGGAAAATGGCCCATATAAATTCTTTGTTACAATTTCTTCTCTCCTCCCAAAAACATGCCAAAGTCAAAGTCCTTTCCATTTTAATATTACAATAACTATACCTTCCTCTTCATCTGAACTGTCAATTTTTGCAATAGTTTAACAATAGCTATTGAAGAAATTTCAGAGATTAAGTATTTTATGCTTTGCAAAGGACTCACAAAACTGTCTTGATGCAAGAATACTAAATTCCCCAAAATGTTCTTCATCTTAAGAGGAAAAAAAATCTGTGTATTATCATTACTAATTGTTCCTTATGATCATAACATGTGCCATAATCTCAGGTGCAAAGACTGTAGTTCTGTTCTGCACTACAGTTTTACTTTTCAACCTGGAAGTTGAGCAGTCACCTCTGCAATTTAATTAGCACTAAAGCTTCTCCTTACAACAATCAACTACATCCTTCCCTAGCAGAGCTACTATTTCTTATCTTTCAATGTAAATAGTAGAAATCAGGAAAATCACTTCCCTAAGATTAATATAATTAAGAAGCATTAAGTGGCAATGTCTTTCTAACATGGTCTGTTTATAAATCGACAGTTTTGAACAATCATTATAGACTAAGATCATCACTCAATGAAACGTAAGGTGAAATTCATTCTATCAGTCAGCAGTTCAAACTCCTTAGATCTGAGAGGCATATATATACACCTGCAGTCTTAAAACTCTGCCTACCCGGCAAGATGTGCTCCATCAAATAAGTATTCCCAGGGTTTTCATAGTTCAAGGACTATAAACAAGAAAGATGCTCTATACTTTCACCCAAGTCGCTTTTTTGACATTTTACTCCAGAGTACATAAGAAAGAATGTACGTACCTTCTGTCTGGCTGTACATCTTAACAGAACAGAAAAAAAAGTAAGAGACAAGGAATTAAATAAAACCCTCTGTGCTCAGAATGAAAGGAAAGATGCTATTTTTTTTAATCGGTCTTTTGACTTGGAAGAAATTTGTTATATAGTAGTTTTGTTTTCTTCTACTTTTCCCTTGTTTTATTTACAGAACACAGGGTGATGTAAAGGAATAGTTCAAATAAGCGACTGCTCAAAAGCAAACTAAAGAAAACTAGGGTGAAGGAGACAACTAAGAATGGAGAACACTACCATACTACTTAAAAGCATCTGCCTATTTTAGGCTACTATTAATGGATGCTAAAAGCCAACTTCAGAAATGTAGCTCAGCTACCTGGCAAGATGTGTCAAATTAACAAGCAAAGATATGGAAACCATCCTTGATTTGCGACTCGTAAGTCTCTTTACCTGCATGCATGCTTTCACCTTCTTACATATCCTGCATCAATGTATCTGAAAAATGCGAGTCAATTGCTTTAGATATAGGTCAAATAAAACCAACTGGTCCTACTGGATCTTGTCTGAGCTGTTCAGTTTCCACAGCACTCAGGATCAGGGCCAGACTTAGGATGGGAATCCACTCAAGTCCCAACGAATACATTTGCAAGCACAGCAGGCAGAACTTACATTATTAAATCAGCTGCCTTTTCAGCTGCTACTTCCGACCCAAGTGATTGTCCTCACTACTGCTAATTAACCATGTCAACATCATCAAATACTTCTCTGTCTTAATTCACAAAATATTGAGAGTCCATCTACTTTGTAGTAGGCAAGCTTATGGTAGAGTAAAAACTGTCGAGCTGTGCAACATCTCTCATTTCTTCCAACAAAACCCAGTTACTTTCCTTCACCATTCTCCCTGTTTGATCAAAGCAGAGCCAGGGAAATTGGTGTTCAAGGTCTTTAAATATTATTTGTCAAAGTCTACCTATCATTCACACAACAAAACTAATGCAAACACATTAATGAACAGTTAAGAGCAGTGAAACTGAATCTACAGACTGTTGACTCTTCTCATATTTTGTCTGTTTTGCTCATGATAAAGAATGCGAAGCAATTATCTGTTTAGCACATCACGTTTATATTTAAAATGTCCTGGGGAAAAAACAGTTTTCTTTAAAACTTCCTGACAACTTCAAGCTTTCCTGCCTGGAAGTTGAAGTTACGCATCTAATTTCATGAGGGTAACTACAACAACTCTCTTATACTGAATCAAATATTCAGAATGTTAATTCTGTTATTGCTTGGAGAGAAAACACAGGTAGCAAATTCTCAGGTTGTCATGATAAGAGAAGACTGTCTTCTCAGATAACCAGGCTCTCCAAATTCCAAGCTGCCATAAGAGGATTTTATGTAAACTCAGAAAATGGGTTCCAAGATATGAGGGAACTGAGGAGACTGCTATTTATTTGAGAAACATCAATCTAAAGAAGCACAAACATGCTTTAAATTCTGTAGTAAGTGTACAAGCTGAGAAACCAAGCTGAAAACTCCATTTTCTGGTCCGTAATTATTCTAATTGTAGAAAATTTCTATTTTTTATTCCTTCCTTACAAATGCATGTAAAAGGTATGCAAGTTCCACTCCCTGATTTGACACTAGCTCGTTGATTGCCTCACAGAAAGTGACTTAATAACTATTTTCCTTCTGAAAAAGGTTTATTACCTAAATTTTTAAAATATATGACTTCACTCAAACTTTCCAGAACACCAAAAAGTTTAAAACCCACAAAACCTAAAAACATGCATTTTCTTTTCTTCCTGAACTGCAATTTTCTTTAAGTACATGTACACACACATATTCTTACATACACATACAGAGAAAGGATATGCCTTGAAATAGAACAAAACTGCCAGCTATTAAGTCTCAACTTCCACCCTGCTAAGTCTGAGCAAGCTTGAAGAGTCTGTCTGGCATTTTCTTTGCACTAACTACCCACTGCCTTAAATGACATCTTAGACATAGCTAAACTTAGACTTTTAATCATATTATTGTAGTTTGCCCCTTGATTATAGTTTCAGTGTTTGACATTGTAGTCCTGATACTACAAACCTGAATGCCTCAACTCCTTTAACTACTTTGAAGATCCTAGAGTGAGCTAACTTTGGAAACGATAAACGCTTTTAAAAGACATTAATTTTTATGCAAAACCTTTTTTTGATGACCTAGATGATTAATTTTAAACATGCTTTCTTCACTATCTAACAAGTAACAGGCAAATCGTTAGCATACTATCGGCCAAACCGTTACATAACTAAATAATTTAAAACAGGCTGTGTGCTCTTACCATAAATTAACAAGAATCAGGATGTCAACACCAAAAATATAAAATATACTATTACCTTGTTATATATGCATGTGATGAAGACATGAATTGGCCTAGGGCTTTTAAAAGCCAACTCTATAATCAGAATGGAAGTCTATGGCAAGAATCAGCTTCTCCCATTGAAAAGCATCACACTGGTTTATCATGTATCAATATTAAAATACTTGCAAGCTGTTTCCTGAATAGTTTCCATGTAACTCTATAGCAAAGGAAAAATACACAGTCTATCAAGGCTATACACTTTCCTGCAGCACCAAAATAAATATCTGAAGTTCAGTAGTGCAAACTTCACCTTGAAATTCACATATTCCCTAGCTGCTTGCTCTTGACCGTTGTTTATTCATACAAGCAATGCATGGATGGGGAGGAAAGCAACTACAAGTTAAATCTCCTATAGCTATTTTATACATGGTACAAAAGTCACCTTAATATAAATTTTTTGATAATCCATTTCAAAAAAATCCAACATCTATACCTTTCTTTCATTTCTATCAATTTCAAAGAAAATTAGAAATTTCTTTTTCAGAACTGAATGTGTAAATGAATGGACTTGCACTCAGACAAAAGAGTGAAATTTCCTTTATTGATGTATTCAAAATAGGTCACTAGGGTAAAAGAATAAAATCAAATAATTTATAAAAGAAAGCTGCTTTTACAATACAAATTTTTCAAAGCAGAGTGCCTTAACAGGGGAAACGTATATCCTTTTTTTATATCCTTAGTATTACCATGATCTCTGACAGACATGCTTTAATGGTAATACTGTTCCTTCTTTTTAAGATCTACTTGGCCTTTTTCTAACAACAACTATAAGGAGTGATGGTAATCTGCTTTCCTTGCTCCCCAAGAGAGGAACTGCCTGAGTACCTTCCTCCAGCCCTCATTAGACAGTATCTTTCCAGACAGGTGTTCCCCTTCTATGCTAATACACCAAGCTGTTCACAATATATTAAAAGTGAACTGCAGTTCTTTTCAGCTTATGCCAAATTATCTCCTGGCATCAGTTACAGTGTGGCTCTTGACTACATACCTGTATGAAGATCCTTGCTCAGTAAAACAAAGCAAGAGATAAAAATATATAGAGTAGATAAGCAACTGCTAGGATTTCCCAACTTACAGAATTTTACTAAGGTAAAGGAGAATCTTGCTGAAGGGGCATCTACGGTTCTCTTACTTAGGCCAATACTGAGCAATACATTTATGCTGAAGTGAATCTTGGCACCTTGCAGTATGCACCATCATAGGTAAATGAATTACCACATATTAGCTGAACCACTACCATGACCATAGTTTAGTCCATATCTGCAACAAGTTAGGGAGAATCTACTTTCAGACACTTACTTTTTTTTTTTTAAATTGAGATCTTTCTCATGCAAACCTTTCAATACTTAAAGAAGGCTTATAAAAAAAATGGGGGCAGACTTTTTAATACGGTCCGTAGCAACAGGACAAGGGGTAATGGTTTTAAACTAAAAGAAAGGAGATATAGACTACATATAAGGAAGAAATTTTTTACAATGGAGGTGGTGAAACAGGTTGCCTGGAGAGGCGGTAGATGCCCTATCCCTGGAAACATTTAAGGTCAGGCTGGATGGGGCTCTGAACAATCTGATCGAGTTGAAGATGTCCCTGGCTCACAGTAGGGGGGTTGGACTTGGTGACCTTAAAGGTCCCTTCCAACCCAAACTATCCTATGATTCTATGAAAGTGATCAGCCACTATCTTTAGCAATAGTTGCCCAAAGCTAAGGGTGAATGAAATACGGATAATATTATTACTACAGGCAATCATGTATATATTACTTCTCTAAGCAGAACGTCAATAAGCTTGTACAGTTAACGCTATACAGCTATGCTAGCATTTAGTAGGTATTTGATGAAGGACGAACCTATGACAAAGGATTCCCTTCAACACAGGTAGCAGAAATGAATTCATTTTTCCACCACTAGGTATGCTGAAATTGACAGAGAAAATACATATGCTCAAAGAAAGAAAAAGCCACATTTTTATTTCTTTTATCTACTAGATGCAATCAATCAGGCATTGGAGAAGGAATGAAAAAATAAATCTATGTCATACACCCCAGTATATTAATGCAAAATTGCAGCTGAACACAGTTCTCAACTTTCAAGAGGCAAAAATCTTACCTTTTTAACTGTCACACCATCCTTTGGAGTTTGCTTTGTTGACAGATTGTACCCGATCATCTGTTTAGCAAGCTGTTCAACAATCTTAGGGCTACAAACAAAGAGAAAAGGTTAGTTTATTGAAAGATATTAAAAGAAACAGTTACATAGCTATTGTAAACTGCTTAAATATTACAACATAAGCAATTTATTTATGTTTTTTCAATTTTAAAGACTTACTCTTTAGTTAGATGAACTCCTCCTTTCAATCCACTATTGAAAACACCTTTTCCTCTCCCTCCAGCCAGAATCTGTGCCTTCAGAACAATTTCCTTTGCCTCTGTAAAATAAAAACACGTTGCTGTTCTATCATGTGTCATTTATTGAGCTGTTCATGTAATTTTAAAAAGCATTTCCAAGTTAGACTCTTTAAAAACAGTGAGAAGTTGTTCATAACCAGTGAGCAACAAAACAAGAGTCAATTCAGCATTCTTATAAAGCAATCTTGCGAAAAAGAATTGTTCAAGGAAGTTAAAGGACAAATATACACTACTTATTAGGTGGATAAATATCTCATTATTCAGATCAAAACTGTGCTATTGATGCTACATGGCCTGCACAACAAACCATATAACCAACATACAGCTTGACAGCTTACACTCTGACAGTTTTTAAAACATGAGTCAGACCGTATCTTGTCTTGAATGAACAACAAACGAACTCTCATCAAGGAAAATAAATTTCACTCCTTGCTCTGAACACATGTAAGCAAACCTAAGGATGTGGTTCGAAAAGAAGAAATCCCTATCTCCAAAGGGCAAGTAAGTAAGTAAGACCTGCCAAGTGCCTGTAAGATGTTTATTAATACTGAGTATGGTCACTTTGCATATTTATCACAACCCTGCCAGGTATTTTGCAGCCTGAGATCCTAATATTAACATATCATTAAGCATGCCTAGAAAAGGCTAACATTGTTATCCTTTTCCGAAGGTTGTGGAAATCTCTGATTTCAGTGATGTTTGGATTAGGTCACACCTTGAATTACAATGTTCTAAGCAAATATGAAAGAAAACATGAGAATTTGTTGTTAAATTGACAAATTTACTGTTCAAGAGGCGCAGAGGATACGGACATTTTCATTCAAACAAACACAGGCTCTCTAGGCTTGCATTACGTAAAAACATTTTACAGATGACTGAATGTAAGTGTGGAGGTCTGGCAATTTTTGGTGCAGAACAGCTCTGACATAGCGTCATTTCAAACTTCCAGTATAGTAAATTTCAGCAACTAGGAAAAAAGTTGGATCTTAGGATAGTATAAATATTATGAAACAAATATTCTATTTCCTGTCTTAAGACACAGCTATTGGATGTATTGTACTAAGAGGTGCCTGATTTCCAAGCTTCTCAAGGCAAAATCCGTCCACATGTTTATCCATCAGTAACATTTACATGTATCATTCCGAACATTAAAAGCACTCTCCTTGAAAATACTTCATACATTCCAATATATTCATGTTCTGGGCTCCCTATTATTCACGTCACTGCAAGGCAAATAAAAGAAATTTAAATGCAACAAAAAGTTTTATATCAAGTGTTTCCTAGGCACACAAATTATTAAGATGAATTAAAACTATAAATCATTTTCCAACCTGCAGAAGCAATCTTGAAAATCACAATAGGGGCTGCAGTAAAGAATCTAATATAGTACTGTTAATAGATGCTGCAAGCCTTTAATTAGATCAGTTTTAGGTGCCAACCATCCCGACAACGTGAGTTTTGACTGTCAGTGATACCTGGCATCAATTACGTGAGTGATCATTACCCTCATTCTTAACCAGCACACTACATGACTGCTGATTACCTTCCTTTGGCTACAACAAATGAAGTTAGAGAAAGGAATTAATGTGAACCTTTTCATAATCCACTAGAGGACTATCAAGGCAATACAATAACTTCAGAAAAACAACTATCAAAACCAGAAACAAACACACCAGCATAACCATGTAAAGATTAGACCTGAAGAACTAATCAATACAGCAGCTCAGCAGAGCACAGTACAGCAGGTTCTTCTTGCCCTGGGGGAAACCAACAGGAAGCAATTTTAATTCAATAGTTATTTGCCCAAGCTCTGTAAAATGAAGTAAACCAGCCAGATCTTATTTTACAGTAACTAGGCTTGATCATTCAGTATTTACCAAGTTGATTCACTACTTAACGTCACCATTTTATTTAAAGAGCTGATTTCTAGAAATGCTCACATGAAGTTTTTATGTTTTCTCCTGCCTGAATTCCCAAATTATGTTATGAAAGACTACCCCAAAAGAAGAATGTGCTTTTAGTTGGAATATATGAAGTAATTCACCTTCACTTGTAGGCTCTAATAAAAATAAATAATAATTTAAAAAAAAAAATAATCTAAAAAGTGGTACACAAAGCCAGCATTAAACCCATTAAAAACAAAAAGCTGTAATTAATTTCCATTAGCACCCTTCCAAGCTGCTGTAGTAACACTGGAAAAATGTTTAAGCAGGGCTGTACAGTTATAAATACTGGATTTGAAGAGAATCTAGCACAGGCAACATGTCCTTATACCACCACAGAGTGCAATGTTTTCAACAGCACTGCATTTGGTAAGTAAGGCTTCAATGAACTTCTGTTTATGTCCACTGACTAAGAAGCCTTTGCGTAAATTTTTAAAAATGAAACCAAAACCCACAAAAACCCAAGTAACGAAACGGACTGCTTCTTAAATGTGCCCAGATTTTTTGTCATAGATTTAAAATTTTCTTTATCACTCAAAACAATACCAAAAAAGACTGCTTTTAAGTGTCACTAATTTAGCAGCAAATAGCCGCAAACTGCTCTATGCAGATTAATGACGCATTTCTGGTAACAGCATGTGTTCTTAACTAATTATAACTTGAATACATTAATATCTCAGACTTAACAGTTTATTCACTGCATCATATTTTTGTCTTTTTTACACTAATCTACAGAAAAAGAGAAATATGAATGTTTCCAAAGAGTCTCTTAAAAAATGGAGCAAAATACAGTTTGTCTGTAAGTCAGATGCCAATAAATAAGCAAGACCTTTACTCCTCAGAAAAGTCCTCAGAGTTTAAAATTTCACAACTGTAGTTGGGTTTAACCACATTTCTAAAAAAAAAAAATTAAATCTAACCACATAGGAAAAAAGCCTTAAGTACTTTTCTTTTAAATAAATTCAGATGTTTCAGCTGGACAGAATATAACACTCCAAGGGACAAGCATCCTCTACATTGCATTCAACAATACATCTCCTTCCCTTCAGTCAGCGCTGTGAATACAAATGGCAGCGACACTCCTTGCAATTGTAATAGGCTCAGTTCTATAATGAAAGCCTATTTAAAATCAATAAAATCAGTCCTGCTTTTGGGAGTTATGATTACACTGGTCCACTGGTACTGCTTGCAGCAAAAATGAACAGCTTGTTCCCAGCCCACTGCTGTGTATATTTAACTACCAAATTCTTGATCGTGAAACAATATACTGAGAACCATAGTTGTGCTAGTTATAAGGTATGTCAATTTATTACCTGTGAACAACTTTTCATTATTATTGATATGACTGTGTGATAGCAAATTAAGCATGTTAACAATTACATTAAAATGTGCTGCAGCTTATAAAAACTAAACTACTGTAAAGAACAGATGATGTAAGACTGTATGGTAACAGGTCTCACTCTGGCCTGTTTATGAACAGAAGATTTTCTGTCAGAGAGTACTCAGGACTACTTTGGCAAGGCATCCTACGCTACAGAATTAGAGCACGGGACTGAAAGGGAGGAGATCTCACACGAAATCCTAATCACGTTTCTGTCTCACCATGCAACTTTAAGCAGTTCGGCTTCTCGATCTGCAGGGGCTCTGTGAAAATTAATTAGCATATGCACCTCTTTTAAAAACGCAGAACCTGATTCAGTATTACAGTACTGTATTTTTACCCAAGTGCAATGCAACTGATCACAGAAGGGCTGACTCCAAACCCTGGCAGCACCATAAGTACTGCAGCAGCAGCAAAGTGTCACTGGAAAACGCACTGATCTCTCTTGTAATGAGCTTAGTACACGTTGCAAAATAGATGGAAGGAACCCAGTGTCATCAGAGAAGTGCAATGAAGACAAATTGAGGACATGCCAAATCAAGGTCTTCCAGAAGCACTGCCTCCTTACTGACCCAAACGCGAGCATAAACACTGAGTTTATAAACACAGGAGAGCTGTTTTCACAAAGGCAGCAGGGATTAAGGAGACTTCTCCATCCTCCAGTGCGCACATGAGGATCCCAGTCCAGCGTGGTTAGGCAGATATTAACCAGTTTCAAGAACTTTGCTAGTCATCCTTCTTTATCTAAAGTCATTAAGCTGTGCTTGACAAGCAGAACTCTTTGAGCATGTCCTCCTTCCCAAAGTCCCAAAAGAGCTAAATGGGGTACATGTATCCGCAACCAGCTCCAAACTCTCCACCTCTATGAAGAGGCAGAGGCCAACCTAATGATGCATTTACCTGGTAAGACTCCTCTGAGGGACACAAATCGCTGTTATGCTTGGACATTTGCAACTTTAAGCTTCCCTCTGGCCAGCCAAACTTCAGTCACCATCTTTTCCATGGCTGTCTTGAACATTACTCCACTAAGCACAGGCTGGGACTCCCGCTGGATGACCAATTCCACTTCCCAACCACATATGCCGGACATCGATTTCCTAAAACAGGGCAGTAAATTCAGTCCTTCCCTTCCCAAAGCAAGGTTCCTCCCCCCCCCCCTCCCCGCTTTATAATTTAGCTTTCATAACATGGGAATCGAGGAACACAAGGCAGACATTACAGACATTTTCTCACAGCAACTATACTTCATTTTGGATAGCACAAGAACTATAAAGATATCAACAAAACTCAGAATGCCTACACACCACTCCTACTTCAGCTTCCTTACCAGTGTTCACGCAAAACCACAAATGCTCAAGTGTCCTGCAAGGGTTCTAGATAACCCTCTCCCAAACTGCATCTCTGCAGCTAAGAGTTTATCTTCCAAAACATGGGGTTCCCCTTACAAGCCCTGAAAGCATTAAGTTTGGGTTCATTTGGGGTTTTTTTTACCTACTTCTAGCTGATCCAACAGTAAAGAAACCTAGCCTTTGGGGTCTCATCTGTCCTGTTCTATTATTGTTGCTTGCTTCTTTCTTGTTTCAGTGCTACCACTATCACCAGAGTTTCTAGCTTCCCTTTGGGAAAGACTGGCTATAATTAATTTTCCAAATTTCAGCCATCCTGTTATATTGCTCAGGCAAGATCCTGT